CCAACTCCTACATAGTTTATTGCAAGTTTGTACGGACTGCCAATCATTCTGTGGCCGCTGAATTATGGGAACAGATTTCCCACAAACAGCGAACTTACTCTGCGGTCGGTATTGTCTGTTTAATTATTCTGTGAGTCAACTAATGACCCGTGAGGTTTCAGTCGCCTACATATTAACTACCAACGGCAGCTTTTGTGAATGGGATCCGATTTTCATTAAAACATTCATTAATAAACGGGGTGTCATATGAAAAAATGCGATACAAATGCTGTTTTTTCTTTACTATGTTACAATTTCGGAGAAGACGTTTATTTTTCGTAACATTATTATTTGATAGAGAATCCAACTTTGCAAAAATTATAAACACTGCTAACACTCTAATCTCCCGAATCCGAGTGAAAGCATAATTCAGAAACTACACTTTTGAAAGGCGTAAATGTTCTGGATGAAGTTTAGTCCCCAAACTCTCTTTATTAAACTTTGTGACAAGTTTCATGTCGCTTTCAAAACCGACTTGTTCTATTTTGGGCTTGCAAACTCCATCAAAACTGCGTATAACCTGTCCCAAGAAGTCAATTATATTTCATATAAATTTTAACTTTAAAAAATAAGTTAAGCCGTCATATTTACTTTTATATTAGAAACTTATGATGCCGCAAAGGTTGTATTTACTTTTCTTTTAAATTGTGTAAACTTTTCCGCTTCATTATTTGCTTGAAGAGACTTTTATTTCAAAGTTGCTGGACGAAGTAGTTAATTTTACAAAAAAGGGCTAGCTATACTCTATAGTGATCTATCTCCTATTCCAAGATCGCGAAATGATTCTGATCTAGGAAAAACGAAGTCATCCAACAAGTAGTTACACATATTCTTAAGAGTAAATGATAAAACATTGCACTTTTTACATTTAACTGTAATATCTGTTAAGGGCGCACCATATATTTAGGGTAGTTTCCATGTGGATGCAACGAACAAACAAAATCGAAATCTTCGATTTTTTTTAACTTCGGAATGTTAATATACTTTGAGTTATATGAGGCGCGTGTTATTTGTTTTTCCGAAAAAAAATTTTGGAGCTCCGTGACGCCATGTCAAAGTTTACATCGTAATTGCGTTATTCCGAAAATGAAATTGCATATTTTTTTCAAGTTGCCGTTATTTTGATCTTATCGAAAAGTTGGCACATTGCTGATTGGCTAAAAGATACCTTATTTGGCCTTGAAAAACAAATTTGGAGAAAATAAAAGGTGGGGTATTTGAAAGAATCAGTTTTGAATAATAAGAACTTTTTCCCGTTTTTCTCATTTATCTGAGAAAGTTTTAAAGCAATTTGCACATTTTGAAAAAAAAAAGGTTTCGACATTACGATTTGTGTTCAAAATGACGACCACTTGAAAAAATGTGTGCATTTTTGAAACCGTATCTCCCGAACGAAATAAGTTGGCATATTGCTGCTCGCTTAAAAGATAGCTTATTTGGCCTTGCAAAAAATATCCGGTGAAAATAAAAGGTGGGGTTTTTGAATATAACCTTTTCAATTTTTCTCATCTCAGAAAGCAATTTGAATTCTGAAAAAAAACTGGTAAAAGTTGATGAAATTCTTCTAAACATCTTGAAAAAAAAAAAAACGTTTCGATAAGATGATTTGGGTCAAAACTTGAAAAAACATGCATTTTAATGCAAGAATTATGCTGTCACGATATAAATTTTGATATAGCGCCAAAGAACTCCAAAAGTTATTTTCGGAAAAACAAAAAACACAGGTCTCATAAAATTCAAAGTAGATTAACATCCCAACGTTTCAAAAAAATCGAAGAAATCGATTTTTGCTCGTTGAATCCAAATGGAAACTAGCTTAGACAATTTAATGTGTTTTGCAGTTCAACAGTCACTTAAACAATTAGTTATTTTATAGATCCTCATATCATCGGCATACAAAAGATAATTGACGTGTATCTCAATAACTATGTCATTTATAAATGTATTGAAAAGCAATGGCCTCAGCTCCGAGCCCTGAAGCACACCTGATTCACGCATTCTATTTCAATTTAATGCTTTTAATAATGTTTGAATCGTACTAAGGGGGAAAACTCTTACCCTTAACAGTAACCTTAGGAACAAATTGATCTACTGTACTATACAGGGTGATTTACAAGTTATCCAAAAAAATTTGGGAATAGATGCGTCATGAAAAATGGAATCAATATCGTAAAAATTTTTGGAAAATCTTTATAGTTTCCGAGAAAAAAATTATTGAAGTTGTAGTATTTTTAACCGTTACATCGCTAGGCTACTGTAGTTTCTAGCGTCATTCGCTCACATGCACCCAGGCGATTCCGTATACTGAAATCCGATTTTAGTATTATCGTTGTTGAGATAGTGTTTACATTAGTTTTTCAAGTGTCAAAAATGCCTTACTTGTATATCAACTCAGGGTGGATGGATATCGTTTTATTTTATGGTGAAACAAGACAATATTTGTGTTAGGGTGAAGCATTTGCGTTATGGTGAAGCAAGACAACATTTGTGTTAGTTCCTAGAAATTAGGTAATACGGGCCCAAAAGTTACACCTAGGTAAACAAAATTTTGAATAGTTGCTGTAACATCGGGTATGTCAAATTATTTTATTAATTAAAAGCATAAATTAATTTTATTAATTACTGATATAAAATAGGTAAGTGTTATAAAATTATATTTATTTCTTTCTTTGGGAAAGAAATTCTTTCAATTTTTTGTCCATTCATTTTTTATTACACTTTGCCGCTGTGCCGGTCGCCGACTGCTTGCTTTGCCTTACGTAAGGTCAGGTTTTACAGTGAACCAGTTTCCAGTGGCATGGCGTGCAGAAATGTATCTTTAAATCATTTTAGAATAGCCCTTTTTGATTTTTTTTTGCAAAATTGTATTTGTAAGAGTCCCTGTACATTCAAATAATTTTTTTTGATAAGTTCTGAATCACCCTCTATAACATATGATAGAGGAAATCGAAAGCAACATTTACATCAATAATATTCATGATGGAAGATCAATCAATAGAAGCCACGTTGTGATAAAGTTAGCCTTCCAAAAATGATATGTAAACTTAACTAAGTCTGCTAATATTATGCTTCTTCTTAACCTATATTAGTACTAAAAGCTAATTCTTTAATCGCTTTCAATTAATATATTTTTTCCAATACTTATATCATAATGATACAAATCGATTATAGCTAACACTGATTTAAAGAAATCCCAATCAAGTACAGAATTGTCACTGAAAGTACACTAACAGTTTTCTCCGTGTGAAGAGTTCTTTACATGCGTAGGATGAAAGATAACGATGTGCTCTATATTTACTCGATATCAAGCAAAATGGTGAACCATTCGAAAATAGAGGATGTGAAAACATGTTATCTCAAGCGACTTGGGAAAGCGGTGCTATATCTTACTATTAAATACTATCAACAGAAGGCTTTTAGCTTTGCGTTGAACATTCTAAGGTTACCACAAAACAACCTCTTCCTACCTTTATCGAGTTTCAGGAGTAGCGGTATCAAATGTGGGTTAACAATGACTGTTCCTATGTCACAAATACAGAATAGTGTGGCAAATTGGAAGGGTTAAAAAATGCCAGAATAAAATAGTTATTTATGATACAAGTGTTAAAAGTGACAAAATAGAATTACTTTTAACAAATGTATCATACAATATTTTTTGTAGAAAGGTTATTAATTATACGTATTAAAAATAATTTAGGTACTTACAAACTACAACATATTGTTGTTGTTGTTTTTTTGCTTAATTTAATATGTTCTATCGTGTGTATTATATTAAGGCAGTCAAACTTGTAACACCCTCTATAGTATACAGCATTTTATTTTTAACACTATTGTTAAAAGTTTGTTTTACACTAGTGTCAATTTTTAGTTCACTTATCAATGAATTAAAAATGTCATTTTTAATGACAGTTTTTACAAAAAATTATTTTCAACATACAACATGAATTATAAAAGCGTAGCAGTCAAAAAGTTACTTTTATTAATTGGAACATATTTGTCGTAAAATTATGCACATGGTAGCATAGTTTTATTTTAGGTTGCGGCGTTGCCAAATTATATAGAAAATTCTTTGAATTGTGGCCTTTTAAAATTTATAAAAACTGAAAAATATGTAATAATAATTAGAATAATATATTACCAAATTTTCTACGATTTTTCAAATGCAGACCATTGTATTTAAAAGTCTTATTTAATACTTTTCCATTCATTTTAACTTTTATGAAAGTATTTTTAAAGTTATTTTGGCTAATTTTGGAAATAATTCACATTTTTTATAAAAACTGCTAAAAAAAGTATTATTATCCACTATTAAATATGTTATATTTTAAATTAATTTTAGTTTTATATAAATATTTAGAAATTCGGAGAAAAGAAGCGGTTTATTAAATTTGACTAAACTAAAAAAAAAAATAATTAGAGTCAAACTTAACATAACCACAACAATTAAATACGAGTATATCGTTGAAAATGTCAGTATCTGTGATTTATTCTAAGTTCCAAATTGTTATATGTCTGATGGACTCGAACCACGAATAATCCTGGCCCTTCACCAGATATTTTGGGTATAATTCAATGTTGGTCGAGGCATTAGTCCGCAGAGTAGGTGTTTCCCGCAATATCTTTAGTTTAGAAACTGTCACAGATCATACTTTCATAATATTCGCCAAATGAAAGGCGTGGCTTGCTGATGAGAACTACTAAGTTTGAAATGGGTCAATGTCTAATCTCTTTACAAATAATCTTGGCCATTTTCTAGATATTGCAGGTATAATTCAACGCTGGTCAGGGCTATAGTTAACGGAGTAGTTGTTTCCCACAATATCGTCAGTTTAGTTGTAGTAGAAATTGTTGTTATAAATTTATTTTTATTTTTTTTTTTGCTTCAGTTCGATAGAAACAGTTTTTCGACACAGTCACAATCATTTCGTAAATGGACGCCTATTAATAAGCTTTTCACCTACCTTATAAAAGTAAAACGAGTTGATTTCCCTGGTAGCATTCAAGCCAGTACTATTAGCTTCGCTAATAGTAGACAAGTTCCTGAACTCCAAAGGCGAGAGGAGCACGGGGTACACCACCGTCGTGACATCCAGGTAGGTAGCGACATCGCTGTAGTTGGACCTGATGATCTCGATGAAGGGGGCGCTGTGTCGCACGTCGGGAATAGGTGACCCGCTCATTTTGATCACTTAATGACTGTTTTTGGACACTCCTGAACTACGCATCTGCGGTTTTGAAAAATATTCAAAGTTGTTCGTGGAGTATTTAGTATTCATCATTGCTGGCAGGGGGGGCATTGTTTGTAGGTGCTTGGTCTACGAAGTGGGAAGTGAGTTGTACAGATTCGAGTCCGTGTGACCTGCAAAAAAATATTATTTAAGCAAAAACGATAGAATGTATTCCGTTCATTTTTATATGCAAGATGTGTGTGTTTTGAGGTAAATAAATGATAATGTGTTTAAAATAATGTGGGTAAGAAACAGAAAAGTATTTTTACTCTATTTTATAGGTACGATTCAGTCATACTGTCAGTAATTTTAATCGTGTATTTGGAAGACCTAATAAAGATAGAAAATCAAAAAAAAATTCAACTCGACCTTTTATTATCCAAGCAAACTCCTTAACTCCGGCGCCCTACTTCGCAACAGGGAACGCTTCGGTGGACTATAGAGTATAGGAACGTTGAAGCGAAACAGCAGATTTCCTTAGTCGTCTTGAATTTTACAATTGGTTCAAAGTGCCGCGGTCCCAACTTTATTAAATAATGATTTGAAAAATTTTTTTCCAGCGGAAATATTCATTTTAATTTTTTTTTTAATTGTATTTGTATTCTACTCACTTTTCTTTATCTTCCCTCGAAATTAATGACATTATGACCGAATCGCCCTGTATATTATATATTGAAACTGGTAAATAATGTAACCATTCAAAGGAGTATTACCGTTTGACTCTATTTGATAAAATATTTAAGAGAACAATTTTTGAATTTGTTTTAATTAGCTAATATTTGAGAGCATGTGTTTTTTAAACAGAGTTTTAGTTTTTTCAAACTGAAATAGATATACCGAATATTTCACATAAAAATATTTCAGGTTCATTACCATCTTTTACGTATGCTGAGGGTGATTTATATTCTGCGTTTGACCTTTGACAAAAACCACAGGTGACGTCTGCTTCGATACGAATCTAGATCCTCATTATTCTTTATCAAGCCAGTTGAAAGACATGTGTAACATTTGGAAATTGAAAGGTAAAAACGTGCCTCTTCTGTCATTTTAATCAAGTCAGATATACGACTTCAATTTTTTATCCCATGTACTACTACTGTCATTTTACAACTATGTCCATTATATTGTTAGCATTGTACAGAATGTTGTGGATTAAATTATAACAAATGACTAGTAGTTTCATGCATTTTCTAATACGATATTTGTAAAAATGTTAATGTTTGTTCATTTAATTAATTTCACTGTCAGTATTATCACTTGTCTTAATGATAAATGTCGCTGTTGTATTCGTTGTGTACGAAGTTTATCTCGTACACAGCGTAATTTTCCAGCTAATCAACAGACACCTTGATCACTTAATTAAGAATGAGATCCAGTTAATGACTTGAGCGTATTATATAGGTAACTATTTTGGTGTATTTTCTATGGAAGTATGAATATTATATGGTAACTTAGATTGTCCATAACATTCATCCCATCAAAAACATTTTACTTATAAACGGGCAATTTGCTATTTGTTGTATAATCCCTTGATAATTAAATTTTATGATGGGCGGAAACTGAACTCAGATCGACGCAGGTATTCATACCCGTAAATCCACGAATGTACTTTACTTTACAAAGCATTATCCCTTATCATCAAAAGAAACTGTGTCTGTGATTTTGAGCTACCCTGTACCGATAACATCGTCAAATAATGACGGATATAAACCTATTTGGCTCGTTATTGATCGGATGTTGTAACACTTCTTTAATAAACGATCCCCCATTCATTAGCGACGAAATAAATTAAGCAAGGAATTAATATCAACGGAATTTGATGATTATTTTCGCCTCGGGACGTTTTCCACGTCATATATTCTGCAGTAAGGTAAATAAAGCTAGTGTGGGTGTATTGAAATTGAAGCCTAAACGCTGTAAAGGCATTCAGAAGTTTACAATTTAATCAAAATCAAGCTTTGAATTGTGCCGTTTTTAGTAGGGCATGAAACGAGAAATGTTTACTTGGGAAAAGGTAGTTTCGCGCAACACGTGCTGCTATTTTAGGAATTCCATTAATAAAAAAGATTTGTTAATTTGGTAATTAGTATCGTAATTTGTGGAAATATACGTAACTTAGACGTATTATTTTTGCTTACCTGTTTTTTGTGCTCTTACTCAGGAGAGAAATAACTATATTGGACGGTTTTTCTATTTAATTTTCTGGCAGCCAAATGGCAAGTTTCACATATTTTTGAACGCAAAGGTCATCTTTTAGAAATATCAAATAAACTTGAAAAAAATTGCACATAGTTTATTAAAAACAAAAACAAAGTCCTACATAAGTCCGATTTAGGTAACTAATCTTTTATTGGACCAGTGGTTTCTTAAATTGAACCTAGCAACCTAACAATGAAACAAAGTTAAGAATGTAAATTCTCAAAATAAAACAACTTGCAGTACCTAAATAAGAAATCATTTACAAAAAAATCACCATAAATCTTAGTTTTACAGTCACTATGCACACTTTCTCAATCAATTTCGACTACATAAATAAAATACATATTTTGTCTTCAAATATAAAAAATACGATTGCATTACCTCTTCATTTATTGTTATTACTCTCCGTTATTTCCTTCATTCGTTAAATTCGGCGAACACTTTTTCGTAGTATTAACTGGATTTCGCTGGCAATAAATGGAAAATTGCTTCTTGAGCTTCTTCAAAAACAGCCAGAAGGACACAGTTACATTCTTGCATTTTTACCAAATGGAGATAGAACTATTTATTAAATAATTGATAATAAACAACGTACCATAGCAACCAGTAGGTATAACAAAACTTACCACGTTTCCTTGGTAACTAGTAAGAAATATCAAGTCGTGCGACTTTTTTTTTATCAAATTCCAATAATTCTGACTTCACAAATATGATTGTGATGTGATTATGGATAAACCGTTGTATTGCATTCGTGTTTTAATTGCCTTTTATCCACTTAAGAATATTAAACGCTCGAACTTTTCCTCTAGCGAGGATACTTAAAACACTTATACAATAAATAACTATTATTCACCTACCAAAGGTGTTTTGCAGAGACTCATCGTCCATCATCAGTAACTGACGTGACTGTTCAAAATCCGCATATTTCGTGACAAACAAATCCACCACATTCTGTTTACTCACTATAACGTTTAATGCAATCCATTACCGTGTTTATGCGGTATGGAGATAACGTTGCTATCTGAATGATGAACTCGGAAGTTGGCTTCTGCGGAAAGTGAAATTGATGTTGCCATAAATCACGGTAATATGAAAGACAGTGTCGCAGTGCCAAATGTTTCCCAGAGATATCAAACAGACGAGAGTCATTACAAAAAGCATACAGCGGGAAATTTATAAGAGTGTTTAGTGCACAGAGTAGTGATGGATAGATTTATGATTTATTTGAATATGGTGAAAATGAAATAGATAAATATCTCCACTGAGAACTGGTCGTAGGTGTAAAAGGAGACGGAATGAAATAAAAAATACATACGTGAAAGGCCCCTACGGATGGGCCTTATATGGACATTATTTGCTTAAGATCATATGACACAAGCACTATTAATAAAAAAGGTCGTAAGATTCAATATTACTGTGAGGAAAATAGGTGACTTTTCTCAAAGTAGGCTTATGTCAAAACTTATTGATGGATGTCTCATAAACAACGCATACATTCTCAGTAATATTTTAAACTCTAATTAATTTTATATCAAAATTTTACCTACTGTTATTAGTCATTACTAACTACAGTCACTAACATTCACTAAAATTTTGATATAAAGTTAAATAGAGTTTAAAACATTACTAAGAATGTATGCATTGTTTATGAAACATCCATCAATAAGTTTTGACATAAGCCTACTTTGAGAGAAGTCACTTATTTTCTACACCATAATATTGTAAGAGTTCAATTAAAAGCTTTTTTTCTCGAAAACCGGCCACATTAGGAAGTTCTAACGAGAGTACATTTTAGAAAATAAAATTGTACATTAGAAATTGGAGCCCGAATGCTAAAAATCCTAACTTCAAAAAAATTAGAACTTAAAATATAATACGAATTTAGCATAACTAGTGCCCTCTATAAAATATACAAAAAATAATTAGACCAGCGTATTTGGCTCCTTAAAAACCTCGGAATACCAAATTTCATAAAAATATTTCGCACTGTTTGGAAATTTTCGTAAAAATTCAATTTTAAAAATTTTATTTTGCCGCTCTGTATCTCGAAAACAAGAGGAGATAGACATATACCTCATAAGACAAAAATTTCTGATTTTTTGTCGTATTATCACCCCCTGAATTTACGGGAGGTCTTTCTGAAACACCCTGTATATGTTTTCAGCCGCGAAAATTGAATAATTCCAAATATTTAGAATTTTCACCACCAAGAACGGCGGTGACAAGATTTTTAACATTAAGGCGCTGTTTCGCATTGTTTTAGCTATTAGTCCAGGCGATATCTGTATCGGGTTGGGTAAAACGCATATGATCGGAGATTTTTGCTTTAACGGCTTCTAAATAACATCAGAAATGATAATTTTTCTATGCAAATAAAAAAAAACGTGGGCTTAATTTTTAATGCAATAAAGTATAAAAAAATAGCAAAAAAATTCATTTTTTTCTTGGGTTTCTCGGCGACAACTTAGCAACTATTCATTTTAGACAAAAATGGAAGAGGAAAAAAGTTTTGTAATTAAATTTTGAACACGATAGAGTTAGTTGCAATTCGAAAAAATAATTATTGTTATTGCAAAAATCGGAAAAATCATTTAAAAATTTGCAAAAAATGCTAGTTTANAAAATTTTGTACTCAACAACGCCGGGAAATTGATTTTGAAATTCTATGAAACATTCCTCAATAGAATACTTCCATATTCCATCAATCTTGCGTCCATTTCTAAAGTAGGACTCTATGATAAACACTTTTTGTTCTTGAGAAAACACCATTTTAAACGCTTTTTAAAACGAAAATATTCAAATTGATAGCGGCGATATAGCGCTTTGACAGATGACGTTTAAGTTCATTTGCTATACGCTACGCCCTACGTCCAAATTTTCAGAACCAACTTGACCACGTTTTTATTTGAACGCTCGTCATATATAAGGCGCT